AAAAAGAGAAAAGAAATGGACATTATTAGGAAATCATTAGAAAGGGAAGTTAAGAGACAGCATGAACTTTTTGCAGATAAATCTGAAGGTCAGTGAAGATGTGAGAGGATCACAGTCAGGGGAAAAGCAGCTTGGGAGTGAAGATGAGAAGGAGAATCCAGGAGAAGGAGCTGCAGCAGAAGACAATAAAGAAGGTGGGGAAGGTACGACAGAGTTGGAACTAATAGAACAGGCAGTGTTCCTGGGATATATGGAGCCTGTGGATTATACTGCCAGTAAGGAAACGGAATCCTTTGAGACCAAAATCAAAAAGGCTGGCATAGGAGAGTTGGAATCCCAGGAAGAGGAAGAGTTGAGAAGATGCATTAGGTTGAAAGGCAAGGAAGACAAAAAGATCACTAAACTGGCTAAAGAGAGAGTGGCACAGAAGAACAACTATGGTGAGTATTCTCCTTCTGATGTCATATCTAGGCGTAATGATATTTTACAGCAGATTGCTGAGGGGGTTGGGGTTAGTTTAGGATCTAAACCTGACATTGTCAATCACAATCTGCAATTGATTAAAATGGCTGAACAGGCTAGGATTGATATGTGGCTAACTGATTATAACAATAAACAGAAGCAAAACCACATGCCTGAGGAACATAAATTTATTGATACTGGAGAATATTCTCTATTGGATCTGTTAGAAGATGAAGAAATTGAAAAGGAGGAAGAGGAAAATGAGGAGTGGGAATTAGTGAAGGAACTTTTCTCATCAAAAAAAGAAAAGAAAAAAGGCAAAACTACCAGAGGTTCTGGAGTTAAAATTGCCTCAGTTGTCAGAGATTTAGAATCCTCAGATAGGAAGAAAAAGAAAAAAAGATGAGGGGTATTTTTTGGAATATGAGAGGTTTTGGGGCTGATATTAAAAAAAGATTTCTGAGGGAGATGATCATGGATATGAAAGTTGACTTTCTGGGTCTGCAGGAGACCATGAGACAAGAATTTTCCAGAAGTGATTTGCAGCAAGTTTGTGCTGGGAGGGATTTCCATTGGCATTTCACCCCAGCTATGGGGAAATCTGGTGGCCTTCTACTGGGTGTGAATTATACCACACTAGATATAATTTCTCAAGATGAGGGGGATTATCATATTAAAATGACAGTGCAAGATATTGAAAAAAAGTTCATTTGGGACCTAGTGGTGATCTATGGTGAGGCACAACCAGAGAGGAAAGCTTTGTTCCTGGCTGAGCTATCTAGAGTTTTCCAAAATTCTATCAACCCTATTTTGATTGGAGGGGACTTTAATATTATTAGAAAAGCTAGTGAGAAAAATAAAGCAGGATCTCCTGGACATTGGAGTTTTCTTTTCAATGCCATCTTGGAACAGGCTGGGGTGAGAGAGTTGGATATGAATGGGAGGAAATTTACTTGGGGCAATAGTATGCAGAATCCCACGTTTGAGAAACTAGATAGAATTTTGTGTAGCACTGATTGGGAAGAGGCTTACCCCTTAACCCAAGTAACAGCTCTAACTAGGGAGAAATCAGATCATACTCCTCTTTATTTGGATTCTGGGGATCTCCAAAAAATAGAACCAATCTTCAGATTTGAAAATGCATGGTTTATGAGGGATGGGATTGATGAAATTGTTCAGAAAGTCTGGAATGATTCTTCCATTAAAGGGGACAGCATAGACAGGTTGCTGGGGAAATTTAGAATGTTAAGATCCAAACTTAAAGGGTGGAACAGAAATATGAATGCTTGGTATGTTGAGCTAAAGAAAGATATTCTACTCAAATTAGATATTATTGATAAAAATTGTGAGGTTAATGGCCTTACAGCGGCTGATAGAAAGGAACAGATTGAGTTGAGGGCCCAGCTTGATAGATTGCTCAAACAAGAAGAGGCTAAATGGAAACAGAGAGCCAAAATTGATGAACTGTTAGAGGGAAATAGCAATACTAAATTCTTCCATGCCAAAGCAAATGGGAGACTTAGGAGGAATAAAATTTCGAGGTTAGAACAAGAGGAGGGGGTGATAGAAGGGGATAAGAATTTGATGGAATATATCACTACTTTCTATAAAAACTTATTTGGTCCACCAGATAATTCCTCTATTTCTCTAAATATTGATAATCCTATTAGGATTCCGATGGAATATGCTAATATTTTAGTGGATGAATTTTCTTTAGAAGAGATTAAAAAGGTTGTCTTTAAAATGGCACACAATAAATCCCCTGGGCCAGATGGCTTCACGGCTGAATTTTACCAACACTATTGGGAGCTGGTGAAATTTGATTTGAAAGCTCTACTAGATGATTTTGCCAGCAGGAAAATTGACATTAGCAGACTGAATTATGGAATTATAACCCTGGTCCCAAAAGGGATTGGTGCTAATCAAATTCAGAAGTTCAGGCCTATCTGTCTATTAAATGTATGCTTTAAAATTATTACCAAAGTACTGATGAACAGACTTAATTTGGTAGCTGCTGAGGTCATCTCCCCTGTACAAACTGCCTTTGTTAAGGGCAAATATATCATGGAGGGGGTCCTGATCTTGCATGAGGCTTTGAATAGGATTAAAAAGAATAAGCAAAGTGCTATACTTCTGAAAATTGATTTTGAAAAGGCCTATGATAAAATCAAATGGTCCTTCCTATTTCAAATGCTCAAACTGAAAGGATTTCCAGATAAATGGATTGACTGGGTTATCGAAACAGTTAGAGGGGGGAAAGTTTGTGTCAAGGTTAATGAGAACGTAGGAAAATATTTTTGCTCTTATAAGGGCCTGAGACAAGGTGATTCTCTATCTCCTTTAAATTTTGATCTGGCTGCTGATGCTCTAGCAATTATGTTAAATAAGGCTAGAGAAAATGGATTAGTCAAGGGGGTCTTGAGTGAATATACAACAAATGGGGTTAACATGTTGCAATATGCAGATGACACTATATTCCTGCTACAAGATGATATGGATAGTGCACATAACTTGAAATATATTCTATATTTGTTTGAACAAATGTCTGGTTTGAAGATTAATTTTCATAAAAGTGAACTTTTCTTATTTGGTGCGGCAATTGATAAGAAAGATGAATATGCAAAAATATTTACATGCCCGGTGGGTGCTCTGCCTATGAAATACTTAGGGTTGCCTGTTGATAAGAATAGAATTAGAAATAAACATTGGAAGCCTCCAGAGACTAAGATGGAAAAAAATGTGAAACTTGGCAAGGTAGACTGTTAGCTAGTGCTGGGAGAGTTACTTTGATCCAATCTGCCCTTACAGGCATACCCTACTTTATGATGTCCTTCTATGGGCTCCCAATGGGGGTTGAGAAGCGCATGGATTTTTTTAGGGCTAGGTTATTATGGCAAGAAGATGATCAGAAGAGGAAATACCATTTGGTGAAATGGTCTGAGGTTTGCAGGCCAAAGGACATGGGGGGCCTGGGGATACAAAATCTAGCCTGTATGAACAAGGCTTTGCTATGTAAGTGATGGTGGAAATTATATACAACTGAGGGATTGTGGCAAGATATAATTGTAGAAAAGTATGTTAAGAATAAAAGTGTGGGCAATGTTTTGGCCAAACAGGGAGATTCACAGTTTTGGGGGGGGGGATACTAAAACACAGAGATCATTTTGTCTCTCTGTGTAAGTTTAAAATTGGAGATGGTAAAAGAGCTAGATTCTGGGAAGATTGGTGGATTGGCAATGCTTCATTAAAAAAGAACTTCCCTAGACTATATGGTCTATGTTTTGATAAAAGGAAAACAATTAAAGAAGTTTTAGAGAATGGATTAGACAATGTCCAGTTTAGGAGAACCCTACTAGGAGATGCAAGAGAATTATGGAGGCATATTAAAGAGGCATGTGGTGTGGTGACATTGAATGAGGAGAGGGATGAGATTAAATGGACTCTTGATAAGAAGGGAGTTTATACTGTTAAGTCCTTTTATAGACACCTGATCGAAAACGGTGTCAAATATCCACACTTGTATATGTGGAAGATTAAAATGCCACCTAGAATTAATGTGTTCATGTGGTTGGCCCTTAGGAAAAGTATTCTCACAAAAGATAATCTGATTCATAGGGGGTGGAAGGGAGATAATAAATGCCCTTTTTGTGGGCAAAAAGAGGACATAAACCATCTTTTTTGGCTTGTTCGGTCGCTAGATTATTATGGAACATTTTAAAATGTGCTTTCAATCTTAAGGACATTCCAGATACACTAGATGCTGTTACGAGAACTTGGGTAAATACCTTTGGTAAAGATGAAAAAAGTTCGGTCATGATAGGAGTTTCAGCGATCTGCTGGACTATCTGGAAACTTAGGAATAGTGTGATATTTGACAACAATAGGGTGAATGATCCCTGTGTTCCTGTTTCCCTGTTTATTAAAAACCTAAATGATTGGAATATTTTGCAGACAAATCCCGCAAGAAGTAAGCTGATGGAGGCTGGAGTGAAGCTAGTAAGTGAGGTGGCAGAAGAAATATTCAAAGCAGCGTATGGGTGGCGCCTGAAGACTGGGAGGATCGAAGGGTAGCTGAAGCCCTCCTTGCTGCGATGGATGAATTTTGGCTCCTGCCTTTTCATGCTGGCTTTGCTCCATTTTGCTGATATTCAGACTAAGTTGATGTCCCTGTAATATTGAGTCTGCTATTAAAACTGGTAGTTTTTCCTTGTAGCCTCTGTTCTTATAACAGAGTGTGTTGTCGCTCTGGGGCTGGATTCTACTGAATCTAGACCTTGGACCACTCTTGTAGGTTCCTCCCCCGCTGTCTTTGGGTTTTCGGGAGAGGGGAAGGGATGGCTTCTCCTCCTTTCCCAATATGGCAGTGGGGTGGATCAGTTAGAAGAGTGGAGTCTCGTGTTGGGGGTTGTTGTGTTGCTTTTTTCCTTTTTTCTGTAACAAGACTTGGTGATTTTTGTTAATGGAAATCGGAGAGAGCGCTCTCTTTTATCAAAAAAAACTTATTGTCTGGGGACCTTGTGCCATACCTTTCGCAGTTTTCAGCCTTCAAATCCCAACATCTCCTCCAGAACTTCTAGACTGCTGCTTTCACGGCTAACATGTTTCTCTAGCTCCAGATGCTCCTCCAGGTAGTTGCGGTAACCTGTAATGACTCTCTCAATGATAGCTCTCCGCATTGCATCTCTGAGCCGAGGGTCTGGAACCTTCCAGAACTTTTGAGCCTGGTACATTTCGTGAAATGCCGACAGGAATTTGGCCAGCGAAAAGGTGTTGATCAAACGATGGATCAATCCAGGAGATCTCGATTTTGGTATGCAGGAGAGCACATGTCCCCAAGAAAATTCGAGATAACTATCCATGTACTTCTTACATTCAGGCGCAAGTTTAAGTGTGAGGTCCCGCGAATCATCAGGAATGAGCAATCCTAATGACTCAGCTACGAAATAGGAATTGTTGAGCAGGAACAAGTACCTGAGGCTTGGATCTGAGAGCAACCATGATTTTCTCAGAAGCAGATCCTCCAGATAATTGATATCGATCAGGCCATCCAGGTTTTCACTGTTGTGGCTCGGTGCAGAGTTGTGCATTGATGTTCGTGCATTCTTCATGGATACTATGCAATCCATGATGAACTGAGTGTTCTTGTGAACCTCGCCTCTTCCTCGCAGGATCTCGATAGCCCATGAGTCATCTTCCTCCACGAGTGTCTTCACCTCCTTGGTGCTGTTTGATATGATATCGCTTAGCCTGATTCCTTCTCTCTCTAACAAGTTGTCTATCTCTTTGAAAATGCTTTGGGCTTCTCGAGAGATCATGACAGGCCTAATCATGTGCGACGTACCACATACGCAGGTAAACATGTCAAGCATGGCCCGCAGCTTCTTGGCTTCGAGAGCAGTGATGATGACATCGACGACATTGAGCATCTCGGTGATGTTCGCTTTGCCAAACAGTGCGACTGCCCGGACTATCCTTATCAACTCCTCCCTCTCCAGCCTCCTCTTGTTTCTTATGAGTTTCTACAGCCTCCATGAATCTCTCCATAAGGAGATCGCCAAATCCAGTCCTGATTCTACTGGGCTGGCGAGCATGGCAAGCAGAAGTATCACATGGTCAGCTGGCCTGACATCTGCAAGCCCAGGGAGCAGGGTGGATTGGGCATCATGTGCTCTAAACGGATGAATATTGCCCTTCTATCCCGGTGACTGTGGCGTATCACGCAGGGTCATGGTGGCCTCTGGCTGGACACTATCCGGAATAAGTACCTGCGTGGTCAATCCCTTGCCTTCTGCCAGAAATCGGGAGGTTCTCAGTTCTGGCAGTCCCTCGTCCAGCTTCTTCCGGTGCTCCGCATTGGTACCTCTATCTCGGTGGGGTCCGGCCTCTCGACACTCTTCTGGTTTGATCGCTGGACCGACGACTCTCCCTTTGCGGCCCGCTTCCCCACCCTCTTCTCTATCGCTGTCGACCCCATGATCTCTGTTGATAGGGCTCTTCTTGACTTAGGGCGCCTCGCTTTTCATCGGCCATTTGGGCCGGCGGAATCCGCCGCCTGGCGTGAGTTGCTTGACTGCGTTGCTCTGCATGAGCCGGTGGTGGATGGGGATCAGGATCTTGTGCACTGGCACCTGGAGCCGTCGGGCCAGTTCTCTACCAAATCGCTATACTTGGCCATTGCTCCCTCCTCCGCTCCCCTCCCCCTATCGATGGTGTGGTCCGTCCGCGCCCCCCTAAGATTCGCATCTTCATGTGGCAGTGGATCCGTGGACGGATCCCGTCCGGTGTGGAGGTCCGCAAGCGTAATGGCCCGGGCACTGGTATCTGCCCCCTCCGTGCTGTTCCCGAGGACTCCAACCACATCTTCTTCGCCTGCGTCTCCGTCCGGTTCCTCTGGAGCTGCTTTCGCGAGATTGTCGGTGGGAGTTGGTGCCACACCAATTTCCCGGACTTATTTGCTGAACTCCAATTGTCCCCTTCGTTCTCTCGCCACATTAGGTGGCTCGAGGTTGGGGTCTTTGCCTGGACGCTTTGGACCGTTCGCAATAAGCTAGTGATCCAGTGTACTCCTCTTCGTCGCGCTACTGATGCTCTCTACAAATTCTCGGGTTTCTTGCAGCTTTGCTGGCCGCTTAGCCGCCCCCTGGATCGGGACGCCATCTCTGCCTTCATCGCCGATCTCCGCTCGATGGCCGTCCGCCTGTCGCCCCCGCCGCCGCCGCCTCTGCCGGAGCCTGACTAGATCGCCTGCACTGGGCATGCTTTGTTTTTTCTCTTTCTTCTGGGCTTGTTGAGCTGTGCCCTCAGCAGAACCTTAATACTTTGTTGTGGTACTTGGGTGGTGTGTGTGTGGACCTGTTGGGGTTGTATGTCTTGTGGCGGTTTGCTTTATTTATAAAGCGGGGCGAAAGCCTTTTTGGGTAACAGTGCGACTGCCGGCGTCCTGTGGAAGGCGAATTCGTACTCAGTCTCGGTGATACTGGCAACAATCACGGAAAGAGCCCGGACCCACTTGTCGACCAATTCTTGCGTCGTGACCGGCTTGTCTCGGAGCAGCCGCCGTAAGCCATGCTCGTCGTCGATTTGAAGAACCTAGTCGACGTCGAGCTCCAAGAACCAATTCTCCAGGGCATGGCCCCGGACACCACCACCATGTTTGAATGCCGCCCGTGCGGATGAAGCATCGTCGAATGCTTGGACCATGTGCCAGATGTATCCATCATTGACCATTCGGTGAGCGATCCAGGTGAGCTCACCATTGTCGACAAATGCCGCAGACACCGAAATGGTTCCGCTGGAATTGCCGGAGTTGTTGGACGGACAAGAATTCGAGGCACCTGAGCTCGAGTAGCTGGATGATCCGTTGGCACATGGGGAGTTGGGGAGACTCCATCTTATCGGCGATCCGGACACGGGCACTGCCTGGATCAACTCGCGGTAGGAAGTGCGCGGCCGGCAGGGAGCTGTGAAGCCGGTGGTGCTCTCCTCCGGCACGGAAGCAAGCTGCTCCGTCATGCTGGCTGCTACTTCGTGAAGCGACGCCCTTGGTGGGGGTGGAGCTCGGTGAGATTGGCAGGGGAGTGAACTATGGGAAGTGCAGGGCGAGGGCACAAGAATCCTTCGCCGTTGCTGGTATGGCTGCCCGATTATCAAAAGAAAAAGGGCTCATTCGCTTCTTCTGCTTGCCTCATGGGAAATTTGGCGTGAAAGAAACATACGTAGTTTCGAGGAAAAGGAGCCTCCTTTGCATAGGTTCGTTAGTTTGGTGCACGGTGAGATTTTTTTTTTGATAAACTGGTGCACGATGAGATTAATTTGTGGAACATGGCACGCCTCTTTCCGTTTTTCTTCTCTGGTTCTGACTTTTAGCACTTGCAACCTTTTTCTCCGCGCAACCTTTTTCTACTAATCAATGGAATTTGGAAGTTCTCCTGCGGAAAAAATAATTCTTTGCCGTCGATGCGGCTAAAGTCTCGATTAAAGCTTCCGCTGCCGGATTAAAAACACTATGCCTGAACCGCGTGACGACGCGCAAGACCCGAGTCTGCGGGTCAACACCAACTACGAGAACCGCGTGATGGATGGCGTGTGAGAACATACCTACAGCCGGATACACCAAATTCGATACCTCAAACGTGAGAAAACACACACATAACCGGTTATCCCTTAAATTTGTGTTTCCACAAATTCCTTATTTAGCAAATATCAAATTCATACAATCACATGAGTCGTAAACTATCTCTAAGATGTAACACAAAGCGCCATACTCACCTGGTTGGGGGAGCTGATATAAACCTCAAAATTTAAAATTTAAGGAAGTGAGCCTAGCTCAACTGGTGGGGGGAGTGGATATACATACACAATACCAGGGATCAAATACTTATGAACAAGAATTTAGGCTCTTATTATATTCTTGAGGACCGGAATTTTTTGGTACTCAGGCATTTATCCCTGAGGACTAGCCTTGGTGGCTAACCGAGATTTAAAATCCTGGTACTCATGCTTAAAAGGTTGCGTGCATCCAATTTTTCACTCACAAATTAGAGGCCCACATTATTGTTGTGTGTGTTATGCATACAACTTAGCATGGTTTTGTGTCACAAAAAAATGTGAAACATTTGTACTGATTACATGCACGCTGGGACGTGAGTTCAACCAGGTGAATGCCTTTTTTTGGTACCTCTATACGCAGGAGCATAGGGCCATGAGTGGGGCGACTCGGGCAGCGCCTCGGGCGCCGGGAGCAACGCTACACGTACGGATAATTACGGGCAGAGATTAATTACGGGCTGATTTGGCTTAACAGAATTGGATAGAAGGAGAGTGAGGCGGGACCACCCCAGGTAGAAATGGGGGGGGGGGGGAAGAGATTTAAGGGAAGACCCTGTAAATGCCTATAAGAACCTGTACGTCTAGGATTATTGCGGGCGCCGGCCACCAGCGGCCTGGATCTCCTCACCGGCTAGCAAGTTGGAGGGAGATTTTGGGCCCTCGCTGAGGGTTCGACTGTTGAAGATGAAGGCAACGATGACAGTGCATCGATCCTCGTGTAGAAGTGCATGTTCTAGCCAATGCAACCACATTATACGTCAACACTCCCCCTCACGTGTGGCTCTCTCAGGCCTAAACGTGGACCGAAAGAAAGTGGGCTGCAATTTAATTGCGCCAGCCGGGTCTTGAACTCAAGACCTCTTGGCTCTGATACCATGTAGAAGTGCATGCTCTAGCCAATGCAACCAAAAGACCGGTCTAATGGAAGAGACTAGGCAACACATTATACGTCAGCAAAATGTCGAAAGTGACCTCACCGACGTCGTCGGGCACGCTTTGCGAATCTCTTGCGGTGGGATATTTGGAGGAGGTCGTGGCCGATCTGGTTGGCTTTCTAGTCCCGAGCAATGATCCGGCAAGAGTCGGCCTGCATGCAGAGGATAAGTTGGAGGTGCTGCGGCGGATCATCCACCGGCGTACGGCGCTGACGGCCGTCTGGCCATGAAGGGGACCACTTCCAAAGGTACGTCTGCCTTCACTCACGTTGCAAGGCTTTCTCGTGCCGAGTTCTTGGACTGTCGTATCTAGACGATGAAAGAAGGGACAGATGGTGGCGGTGGCGGTGCCGGTGGCTGACCTGGTCGGTTCGATCTAAGAGAAGCGGCAACAATGTTTGGAAGTGTTGCTGAGCCGGGACGGCCAGTGGTGGCACCGGTGCCAGCGGCCGACCCGACCGGTTTGATCCGAGAGCAGCGGCAACATCGTTTGAAGTGTTGCTGGGCCGGGACGGGTCGGAGCCACCTGCAGCCGAAGCGGGCCTACTGAGCACCAGGTATTCAACCCAGTCTCGAGCTGTGGCTGTCGGATTAGAGGAGAGTGGGCCGGTCACGGTCGGGCACGAGGCACACCAGGAAAGTCTATTTTAAACCTTGAACTCGTAGAGCTCGTCTGAACCGTATCCCGATGTCCGAATCCCTGAAATCGGTACCCTGACGTCTGTAATCCCGGTCAATGTAAATCCTGGATCTGTTTGGTGCACCAAGAAAAGATCGATCCTGCTCAGGATCACAGTCTGCTGTCACTAACATATGTCATGTGGGATCTTGTGCACGTGCACAGGCATGCGCTCGAACTGCACCTTGATTGTAAAGAACGGGAGTGTTGAGTATACATGTTGTGCATATCTGTGTATTGGGCCCACCTCCTAGTTGCCTTGTATAGTTGAGGTTGTGGCCCACTCCTGTACATCATATATACGTGTTTTTGCACCTGAGGAATACAACACGTAATTCCCACAACATACATGGTATCAATTTTCGGGTTCTAACCCTAGTCTTCCGCCGCCGCCGCCGCGCGCCACCGCCACCGCTGCCGCTCGCGCGTCCTCCGCGCCGGCCGCCGCTTCTCCCGATCCTTATCGCCCGCCAGCCGCCTCGAC